ATAATTTGAGGATGTTATATTACGTTCTCTTACATCATGTTAAATCTCCTTTTAATTCTCTAATATTGTATTGTAGATGCTCCAAATTAGTTAAATTTACTAATTCTAATTCTCTTTCTATATTCATATTTTCTTTTCTATATTTGTTATTGAATGTTGCAGCCATTATAGTTTATTTATTACTTGGGTACTTTCCATCTCTTTTTCGTTCTTTTTTTTTCAATTACTGGAATATGCTTAATTCTTTTTTATTGTCTTTCATTTATCCTTCTTTGGTCTTGATGTATTAATGATCGATTAGGTTCTATTTTAAATTTTCTAATTATACTTCTTATTGAATTAGAGGTTTAAATGAATCTTCTAATATTTATTTTAAATATTTATTATTATCTTCTAGTATATTTATTATTTTTGTTGATATTCATTTATTATTTTTACTAATTTATCTATTTTACTGAAAAAATTTGATTAGCCATTCTAGTAATACTATGTTTAGGAGGATTTCTAATTTTTATATTAGATAAAACTTGTTAAAATATAATTTTGGATGTTTTAATAAGTTTTAGGTGCCAAAAAGTAATTAAAAGTTTGGGTTGGATGGAAAACTAAACGGACACACATTTTAGCAACTTTAATGATACCCGACGCCCGGGAGCGGATATGGTGACAACACCATATTTGTTGTTATTATAACAACACTAGTCTCCAACCAATAGGAAGTTAGGATTGTGATGACTTTTTATTAGCTTAGTGGACCTAATGTAAAATCAAAACAGGGGTATAATTGTCATTATGAAAAATATGTTTAAATAATAATAAAAAATAAAAAAATGCGGAATTCTGCCACTGGTCGCCGGAAACTGGTCGCCGGTCACCGGAATATGCTTTTTGTCGCCGGAATATGCTATTTTGTCATCGGAATATGCCAATGTCGCCGAAATATGCTCACTGAGGTTGGAATATAGTCATCGGGGCCGGAATATGCCTATCGGCGCCGGAATATGCTCACTGACGGTTAACGACCATCGGATGTTATGGTCTGCATTGTGAGATTTATGGTTTGGTTTCTCATATTTTTGTATGCCTTTTGTGGTTTGCTTTATCGTGTTTGTGGTTTGCATTAAGAAGTTTCTGGTTTGCATTCAAAAATTTTGTGGTTTGCATTGTGAGGTTTCTGGTTTGTTTTAATATATTTGTGGTTTGCATTAGAAGGTTTATGATTTCCTTTTTTGTGGTTTGATTTACTTTGTTTGTGGTTTTCATTAAAAGGTTTCTGGTGTGCTTTCGCAAATGTTGTGGTTTGCTTTGTGAGGTTTGAGGTTTGTTTTAATATATTTGTGGTATGCATTAGGACGTTTATGGTTTGCTTTTTTGTGGTTTGATTTTATGGTGTTTGTGGTTTTCATTAGGAGGTTTCTGGTGTGCTTTCGCAAATGTTGTGGTTTGCTTTGTGAGGTTTGTGGTTTGTTTATGGTTTGCTTTTTTAAGTTTATGATTTGCATTAAGAAGTTTATGGTGTGTTTATGAAATATTTATGGTATGTTTTGTGGTATATGTGGTTTGTTTCAAAATATTTGTGGTTAGCATTAAGGAAATTATAAAATTGACTTTGACTCACTAATTGCAATTACAAGAGAACTAGATTGGTGTATCCGCAGTGAAATTGAAATGAGTTAATTTGCAAAAATTATTAAGATGCAATAAGGAAAACATATGTAATTGGCTTTTTATTTTCACTCACAAAGCAATAAGAAGAGAAGAAGAAGGTAAATTAAACTCTTTTGTCTTTCTCCTAGGAAAAGAAGAAGAAGAAGAAGGCAGGGGGAGGAGGGGGATCGTTCAAGAATAAGGTATCAAACAGGTCCATTGAGAAAGAAGGGTTGTCGGAACAGCAGGGTGATGTCGAATATTGATGAAATCGACGCAGAGGAGTGGTATGATGTTGCACCGCCAACACCGACGCAACAGTCCCATATCCTGACCGGCGAACACATCGCCCACCGATCCAAGCTTCGGCAACTCCGACCACGCCGACAATCCCGAGACCTCTGGTGAAATTGATCTAAACAGTAGGTAAATTGAGGCGCTGGGAGAGACGATGTGAGATCGGGCTGCAATCGGAGGAGAAGGATCAGGAGCTCCGGCGTCGCAGTCTGTAGCTGCGTTTCCTGTGGCGACGGCCGATCACTGGAAAGAGTTGAGAACGACACCGGAAGATTCTACCGGGGAAAGGCGATCCTGATCGAGCACAGCTTCTACGACGCCTACGCCGGGGAAACCAAAGACGGCTCACCCTCCGCCAGATTCTCCACGGGCGACGCCGTTTCCATGAGCGTGGTCATACCCACAACCGGACGGGCGGCGACGGGGGAGAATTGCTACGGCGGCGGCTACGAGGACGGTGGTTGGAGGATGGGCGAAGTCGTCGATGTTGGGGAAAGAGGAGAGCAGGGAAGCATGATTTGTTGATTCGTCCAAATTAAGATTTTAATTCAATTTTTATTTTTGTTATATTTTGTTAATTGACCCTTTTACCCTGCTGTTACTATGACAACATTATGGGTGTTGTTATAGTATCCGCTCCCCCGGATGCCCTATTCAAATTTAAGTGATATATCTACTTTAATTCTCAAACTTAATTGATACCCGAGTTATTTTATCCAGGAAAATCTCAACTTTCAATGTACACGTTAGTATCGCAGTTGGAGTGGAACGGTAATAAATATTAGGGCTAATACCACTACAACACCCGAACTATCCGGAAAATGCCACTTGTGTCTTATTGTTTTCAATATTCCATCTGTGTCCTGAACTATATGAGTTTGTGACATTTGTGTCATGGCGTCTTACGTTGACCGTTAAAGATAACTGTTGACTTGACGGAAGTCAAACTAGTGTTGACTTTTGCAGATGTGGCAGAAAAGTGGCATCCACGTAGATTCCACCTCATTGACATGTCATTACTTAATTAAAAATAAAATTAGTTAAATAAAATTATAATAACTATAATACAAAAAATACAAAATTCTTAGAAATTAAAAAAAAATATGGCTCCCCCTCCCATCTCCCCGTCTCTGCTTCTTCCTCTTCCCCGCCGTATCAATCTTCCTCTTCTCCCATTCTCTGTTTCTTCCTCTTCCTCTCCAATCCCAGTAATCACCAAATCCATTAGTGACGAGTGCAAATAAAACTCGTTTATGCAATCGGGCAGTCTTCCTCCTCCAATGGCGATGATGAGTTGGCGCTGCAGCATCTCAGATCCACATCTGCATCTCCGACCGTCCTCCTTGAACTCCCTGTGAACCCCCCACCCCCATCGGTAGGGATGGCAATTACCCACCCATGGGTAATTATACCCAAACCCAAGTAAACCCATTGATAATGGGTTGGGTATGGGTGAAGTGCATATGGGTTTGGGAGGTTAGTAGATGGGTTTGGGTAAGGTATGAATATTGCTTCCATAATCTAAATGGGTATGGGTTGTATATGAATATCCATTTACTTGAGGGTGTTTTAATGCACATGCAAAAATTGGACCTATTTGTAAAACTTGAAAATTTTAAGTACCAAAATGTAAGACAAAAAAATTTAGGTACCAAAATATAATTTTCCATCAATATTTTGAGGACTTATATGCAAAAATAAATAAATGAACTAAATATGCATATCTATTAAGTTTAGGTACCAAATTGTAATTTGTATTTGGGCATGGGTACAAACCCAAATTCATTTGTTATAAACCCAACCCAACCCAAAGTAAATGGGTATGGGTACAAACCCATCAAATTCTACCCATATCCATCTATTTGGATTTCATACCCAACCCAATTGGGTTGGATAGTAAAAATCCATGGGTATGGGCAAAATTGTCATCCCTACCCACCGACACCGACGACCGCCCTTCTCTCCTTGCTCTCAACTAATTCGCTGGCCTCTCCACCCACCTCCGCCGCCAAACACCGCCTTCACCTTCGTCTCCTCCAATAAATCGACCCAATCAAAAGCTCCACATCCAAATCCATAATTGTAGCCAGGCTCGACAACGGCGGAACCACGAGGGCTCTGTCCCTCACCCCTCTCTTCGACAGCGACGAACACTGGAGAAGATCTGTCAAATCTGGCCGTCGATCGGAGCAGTGGGTGGATGAGAACGGCGACCCATTTCTGGATCAGACTTCCAACAGAGCCGTCGATCTGGAGCTCGGTCTTGTTGACCCGAGGGAGGAAGCAGAGAGTAAGGGAGTCCGGGAAAGAATTGCGGCTTTGGATCGGGTGGCGAGACGGTGGATTGGATTGGCGTCGGCAATGGATAGGCGGCGGCGTGGGATCGAGAGAATTGGTGCTCGAGATTTGGAGGAGGAAGAAGACGGAGGGGTGGGGAGGAAGGAAGGGAGTGCGGATTTCTGGGTTCGAAGAGTAGAGTGAAGGACATGGAGGTGGTGGCGACCTGGATCGATTGATGGCGACTTACTGGAGAGGGCTCTCGGCAGAGGGTTCCACCAGACGGCGCGAGGAGAAGCGGAGAAGGGATTGGGAGGTTTTTCTATTTGTTTATTTTTTAAATTTTTTATTAAATGAAAATTGATAATGAAAATTCCACGTAAGATGCCACGTCACCGCTAACTGGATTTTCTGTTAAATACTAACGGTCAACGCCGGTCAACACTAACGGAATAATAGTTCAGGACACATATGAAATATTGGAAACAATAAGACACAAGTGATATTTTTCGGATAGTTCGGGTGTTGTAGTGGTATTAGCCCTAAATATTATAGCGCCGGTTTCCTCTAAACTACTACCTGCCCTAGAAATCTCACCCGCCCGCAAAATTGCCAAAAGAAAACGGGAAAAACGGAGTAGACTGTGGAGAGCCGAATTTCCCCCGATTCCGCATCTAATCAACATTCTGACATTTTGTTGCTTTCCTCCAAATTTTATCAATTTTTCTACTTCAGTCCCCCAACTCCGCTTCTCTTCTTCCTCATTTCCTTCCCCCTTTCCCCGCTCTTCCAAAATCACGCGACAGCAACGCCGCCAACAAGAAGAGAAAAAAGCTTCTCCAACTTCGAAGTCCTTCCCACTCCGCCCAACCCCCTCTCCCTCTCCCTCTCCCTCTCTCTCTAGATTCCCATTCGCTCCTGCAACTCTCATTCTCTCTCGAAACTGCTGCTTTCTCGCTAATGTTGCTTTTCCGGGCACCGTCACGGCTCATCTGCATCAATGTTAGGGATTGAACTCGGGGCACCAGAAGTTAAAGATAGCGCAATCAGTGAAACCCTAGTGGCTAGCGCGACGGGGAGTTGTTCTTCTTGTTATTGCTGCTGCTGCTGCCATGGTGTTCAAGAACAAGCTCTTCTTCTCTTCGAAGAAATCGGACACCTCCAGCCCTGATGGATCGAACAACAGTCCTCGATCCATCGGCTCCAACTCCCCGATCCGCTTGGAGAAGAAGAAGCCCAAGTCCTCCTCCTCCTTCTCCTCGTCTTCTAAAGACAACAGTCCGAGCTCGGCAGCCAGTGGCGGCTTCGCGGCGGCGGCGGGGGGATGTAAGCAGGCTGACGTGAAGGATGGGTCGAAGAAGAAGGGGAAGGAGGTGAGTGGGAAGGGGAAGGAGAGTAGCGGTGCCGCTGCAGCTGTTGTTGCGGCTCAATTGCTACTCGGCCAGCCTCATCATCCAAAATCTCAGCCTCAGACGCCGGTTAAACAAGGGCGATTTTCTGCTTCTGTCCTGGGTTCTGCTTCGGCTTCGGCTTCCAAGTCGAGGAAGGGTCTGGGGGATGGCAAGGAGGATGCTTTGTCCGCGTCTCCCATTTTAGCTTCTTCTTTGGGCTTGAATAAGATCAAGACGAGATCAGGACCCTTGCCTCAGGAGAGTTTCTTCAGTTTCAAAGGAGAAAAGGGGTCCGGGATACTGGGTGCCAGTAATTTGTCGAGGCCTAGTGCTGGGAAGGGGGCTTCCTCTTCCAACGCGCCCGGTTCGGTGAAGAAGGAGGACTTATTGGGGCAGAGTAGGATACCGGGGTTTCAGGACCGCAGTGGTAAAGCAGTTGATCCTAGTAGCAATTGGGATCGACTGTCAACTGGGGATGGCGCTCAGACCCGAGAGGTAACTCCCAATTTGTTGATTGGGACTCGCTTAGAGGACGGGGAGCCCTCTAGTGATGCAGGTATGACGTATTATTTTGGAGTGTCAAGTGAACCCCTAGAATCTTAGACTGTCTTAGTAACCTTTTCTAGTGAACTCCTATCTGTATGAGAGGTTTTGATCCTCGAAAAAAAGTTGCTGTGTATATAGCATGAACCATATGTTTCTTAGTGGTAGACTTGGAGAAAAGGGGGATCATTAACATAACCACATTGCAAACACTATTCCTGGGTGCAGGCTGTTGACAGATATACCATTTGTTGCCTTTTATTTCATGAGAATAGTGTCTTCATGCCACGCTAGAGCGTCTATGTAATGCTTGATTGCAATACAATGCAGTGTGCACCCTTGGGCTGGAATTCTAGTTCCTTTGGAAATGATTGGGAAAAATTACTAGGTTCAAAAATGTTATTTTAAGAGTGGTAATGTGGCGCTTGTGCTATTCTGCCTGCTGTATAGTACAAGGCATTTATAGTGGTAGGGTATAAGGTCACAGCAACAAAATGTAATTTCGAAGACCTGTAGACGTTAACATATCTTAGTTTTGAATAGTAGCTTCTTAGCCATGGTTCTCTTTTGTTGTAATGAACTTTTTTGCTTTTCGCCTGAATGAATGTCAGATACTTTCCTATTTTTCAGTGACTGCAGTCCTCTGTAGTGATATTTGCCAAAAATTGTATCATGGTCTTGAAATGGATCAATATAGAAGGTTCAACAGTGATTTATCTGCTTTATCTTTCATGGAATGTGAACTTCCAACCATCTTGTTTTATGCTATATTTATGATTATTGTAGTAGATGTGTGGCGGAATGCTGTCATAGTCTTGGATTATAGAAATATACTGTGGTTGGTGATAGGAAATGAAATTATCAGCAAATCTGGTTCACTGCGGTTCTTTTTCTGAAGACTATTGGTTTTGTGAAATTATGTTGTAGGCCGACATGAGTCATCCTCCGGTCATTCTGGCAGTGTAAGAAATTCAGATGTTTTTACACCTGAGGTACGATTTCTGAAAATGAATTATACTCTTCTGTTGACATATTAATTACAGGAAGTTGTTGAATTGTTCATTCTGATGTTGTTTGTGAAATTCCTTAGGAGTCTGAGTCTCCACGTTTTCAAGCTATCCTTCGTGTCACTAGTGCACCAAGGAAGAGGTTTCCAGGTGATATAAAAAGTTTTTCTCATGAACTCAATTCCAAAGGTGTACGTCCTTTCCCTTTCTGGAAGCCTCGGGGACTAAATAATGTGGAGGTAATATATCTTTCCTTTGTGGGTCATACACCTAATGAAGTTTGCATTTTCTGATTTGCCATAGTTTTGTGTAGCAAATCTTGGTTGTTATACGGGGAAAGTTTGACAAGGCAAAGGAAGAAGTGAATTCAGATCTGGCTGTCTTTGCAGCTGATCTTGTTGGAATTCTTGAAAAGAATGCAGAAAGTCATCCAGAATGGCAGGAAACTATAGAGGACTTGTTGGTTTTGGCCAGAAGTTGTGCAATGCAATCACCTGGAGAGTTTTGGCTCCAATGTGAAAGCATAGTCCAAGAATTGGATGACAGACGGCAGGAACTTCCTCCTGGAACGCTAAAGCAACTTCATACTAAGATGCTTTTCATTCTTACAAGGTGTACAAGGCTGTTGCAGTTTCACAAAGAAAGTGGGTTGGCTGAGAATGAAAACATCTTTCAACTTCGTCAATCTAGGGTCTTGCACTCAGCAGAGAAACGCATTCCTCCAGGTCTTGGAAGGGGTATGAAAAGCTCTACGGCTTCAAAAGGGCCTTCAGTGACGAAGTCGTATAGTCAAGAACAGCATAAGCTAGTTTGGAACCGAGAGCCGCTAGTGCTGTCTGGAAACTTACTCTCTCCTACTGATGGCTCCAAAGGTGTTGAGTCTCCTGGAGGTCGAGATAGAATGGCTTCCTGGAAAAAGCTTCCATCTCCTGCTGCAAAAGGTCCTAAGGATCTGGATCTCCCTTCTCCTAAGGATCAGATTGATGTTGGGATTGATCTTTTGAAAGTGTCAAGCAGCAGCAAAAAGGTTTCTGATATGGATGTGGCTGTAGCTAAGCCTCCTGAGGTTCCCGCTGTAAAAGATCCACCTCAACATTCTACGAAACACCAACATAAAGTTTCCTGGGGATACTGGGGCGACCAAAACCCATCTGATGAAAATTCAATTATTTGTCGAATTTGCGAGGAAGAGGTTCAAACTACACATGTTGAAGACCATTCAAGAATTTGCGCAATTGCAGATCGGTGTGATCAGAAAGGTCTAGGTGTGAATGAGCGTCTTTTAAGAATCTCAGAAACTCTTGAGAAAATGATGGAGTCTTTTGCTCAGAAGGATATCCAGCCTGCTCTTGGAAGCCCTGATGCAGCAAAGGTATCTAATAACAGTGTGACTGAAGAATCTGATGTTCCATCCCCCAAACTAAGTGATTGGTCTAGAAGAGGATCCGAAGACATGCTTGACTGTTTTCCCGAATCCGATAACTCAGTGTTAATGGATGACATGAAGGGGTTGCCATCCATGTCATGCAGAACACGTTTTGGTCCAAAATCTGATCAGGGGATGGCTACTTCATCAGCTGGTAGCATGACGCCTAGATCTCCGTTATTGACACCAAAGACCAGCCAGATAGACTTGCTTCTTGCAGGCAAAGGTGCATATCCTGAGCATGATGACCTGCCACAGGTTTGTGTTATTTTTGTTAGTTTCTGTATCTCTCAATGGGAAGTGTCATATTCAGCATAACTGATTTCCATGTTTTGAAGGCATTTTCCTTGGATTTTATTCAGCATCCATTCAGCTGTCCGCGCAGTCATTTGCTTTTTCCTTAAGAAATATGGTTCAGCCTTAATATACATGTCTATAGCCAATTTTGACTCTGCAGAAGAGTAATACCGAATCTTTGTTGAAACTTTAATGCAAGTCCTATGGAATTCACGCTCCTATTACTTTGGTTACAGGGGTCAGCTTTAAAAATTTTCAGCCTATTATATTTTGTTTTCCTGATGAAACTATTTTTCCCAATTGCTTTCATTGTGAAACTACTGTCACATAAACGAAAAATCTGATTGAATATGTTTGAAAGGATTTCAGTTCTGGTGTCATTTTCAACTTGTAATGTCAAAAGCAAAGGGTTTCAGGTCTGAAGGAGATTGATGACACACTTGTCTATTTAATTCTTCTGAAATTTTGTTGTTTTACAGATGAATGAATTAGCTGATATTGCAAGATGTGTATCAACCACACCTTTGGAGGATGAACGTTCCATGCCCTATTTATTATCGTGCCTTGAGGACCTGAGGGTTGTTATTGATCGAAGAAAGTTTAATGCTCTTACTGTGGAAACTTTTGGGGCACGGATTGAGAAACTTATCCGGTAGGTGCTATTGCCCAATAATATTGGAAAGTGATAAGAGTTTATGTTATTGAGATTATAAACATTATCCGTTTGATTCAACTTGTTGGTCAAATTTGAGAAATTGTCATTGGAGAAAATAGTATTGTCAGTTGTAGTAGAAGTGGAACTGTCGGTTAAACTATTATCAAATTAAGTGAATGATTGTGAAATTATTAGGCGGCCCCACAATTTTTGGACTTGATTAATGTAGAAAAAATAATTAAAATATACGAGTTGTATGAAATGGGTAAAATTGGAGATGTCGACAAGGTAGGAGTAGAAGTTGGAGTCTGTATTTGATGAGTAAGTTTTGTTAGCTGAACTGGAAGTGCCAACTGGTGCCAAGCAATTGAATCAAATTTAGTTAGACTGCTAACTTCTATTTGGCATCTGGCATATTTTTCGAAGTACTCCTTTGTGGTCTTTTCTTGATTTGTGTGTTTTTTGAAATGCAGAGAGAAGTATTTGCAGCTTTGCGAGCTGGTGGAAGATGAGAAGGTCGATTTAGGCAGCACTGTAATTGACGAAGATGCTCCCTTGGAGGATGATGTAGTTCGGAGTCTGAGAACCAGCCCCGTACACTCTTCAAAGGACCGCACCTCTATAGATGATTTTGAGATCATTAAACCAATTAGCCGTGGGGCATTTGGACGGGTTTTCCTGGCTAAGAAGAGAACAACGGGAGATCTTTTCGCAATAAAGGTACTTTACCTAGTTCCCAGTTCTTCTGTTCTCTTGATGTTTCCCTTTACTCTTGGTCTTGCGGAAAGGTAGCGAGACTAACTGCAATTGCAGGAATAGGTTTACTTTTGAACATTTTGGTTATGGAAAGTGAAAGTAGTTTCGTTTAGTACGAGATCGCTTCACACCTCGCGGTGCTTACACCTCTCACCTATCGAAGTTCTGTTCAAAAACCTGAACCACTGGCCGATCCAGAGGCTTTATTCATCTGCTTCATCCCATCTTTACCCGGGCGTTGAGTTGCTACCTCTTTCCTTGCACGTGTCCTCTTCTTGGCTATCATCCACAAGCACAGATAATCCTCCCACTGAGAATCATTTAGCTGGGCTGAAAGCCATAAGCACTGAGAATCCTTTAGCTGTGCTGATAAACATGATTTCCTGTTTTGTTCAATGGGAGTTTGATGACATACTGATTGGTTGTGCACATAGTAGAATGCAGGCTCCATGATATTTTTTTCATGAAAAAGCTTGATTTGTCAAATCTTTGTATGCTTAGTGTTTTGATGAACGAGTAATGCTCAGTAATTTTGAATTCTTGTGTATTCTTAGTTAGAAGTTGGTTGTTTGAGCTTGTTTGGAAACTTATCTTTAGTAGAGAACAAGGAGAAACACAAAGACATAAAGCCATGTCAATGTTACTTGAAAAGATGAATGTTAACATCTGCTGCAAAACTTATTCCACATTCTGCAATCCCAAGTTCATGTACTGAATAATAGTTCAAATTAGTTCATTATATAATTTTCTATATCTTCATCATCACTTATTTTATATATAATCAGTGGCGGATCCAGGGGTGGCCGCCCTGGGCCACGACCCAGCCCTCTTCTGGATCTGAAGCTAGTATAGCCCTTATAAATTTTTCGATTTTAGACATTCGGCCTAGTGTATTTTATAATAAGATTGTGTGTAACTAGAAAATGGTTTAGATGAATATATTCAAATCACTACTCTAAATTTAGCCTAGAAATTTTATCCTCAATGATTTTGGTAAAAAAAACATTGAAACCTAAAATTCTTGAAGTTTAAAACGTAAAAGACTAAAATAAATATCGAGTTTGTTCCCTTGAAAAATTACTAGAGCGGCTAGTGGAAATAGGGATGGACACACTATAAATTGATTAGTTGATTGATTTGTCTAGTGTTCATGTTGCCCGTTTCAACAGTTACTATGAAGAGAACATTTTCAACAATGAAACATGAGAAAACTAATTTGTGCAACAATTGAGAGATGAAATATGAGAAAATTAATTTGTGCAACAATTTCTTGTTGGTTGCTTAACTATTTTATTTGAAAGAGAGTGTATTATTAGTATGGATATAGACTCCATTATTGACGAATTCGCTAAATTTAAAACTGTCGTGTACAATTGACATTGTAAAAAAATTACGGTTGTTAATTTGCTAATGAAATGCGGCCCAGTGCTCTACTATATCCTGGATCCCCTGTTGTATATAATACAACCCTTTATTTCCAGTAATTATAAACCTACTGGAGAATCACATATCTTACAGACTGAGCTTGCAGTGTTTGAAAGTGTTATTTATTTATTATTCCCATCAAAATGTATCTTGTTACCTTTAAGGATCACCAACGGTGGTTAATGTATGCAGCTGCTGTATTATATACTTGTTTCCATAGTCTTGGACCATAGTAAAAGACGTGGTATGGACCTTGCGTTGATTTTCTGTGAACTTTAGTATTTTTGTACAGTGTTGAGAAGACGCGATTAATCTCTCGCCTAGGCGCGATTAATAGTTGGGCAGGACGAAATCGCCCCGTCTAGCCTTGGGCGATTGATCTAGGCACCTAGGCACTCGGAGGCGCGTTCACTCTGGTGGGCGACGCCCATAACAACTAATAAAGGGGGAAAGTGTAGCCTTTTTTTGAAAATCCCAAACCCTATTCTATTTCCCATTTCCATTCGACCAGCCGCTCCCCCTCATCGACCAGCAGTGAGATCCCTCCTCATTGTTGGCGACTTGGGATGTTTGGGATTTTGGAAAAGGGTTGTATGTGAATATGAATGGATGAATAATGATATGTCAACTTGGGTTTTTGTGGAATATGGCTTATTTATCGTATTTTTTTGCAACGTTTAATCTCGCCTAGGCAACGATTAATCGGCCTGGGCGCTGGGCGATGCCTCCTCGCCTAGATAGCGCCTAGCGTCTTCTTGAACATTGTTTATGTACAAGTTTAGAACACTATTGGGATAATACCTGCATATCTAAAAAAAGTTGCTAAAAGGTCCAAACAGGCTGGTCAGTGTTGTAAATCCTCCTGGAAGCATGGTAGATATGGTAAGAGATGAGAATGTACTTCATGTGCACGGCTGAGAAGTACATGGCACTAAGATGGCCATAGGTGGTAGAGGTTGAATCTTTAGCTGTTTGGGACTGTGACATCAACCTGATGTACTAGGCAGCACAGGGAAGAAAAGAGGACACTGGAAAAAGGGAACATGTGTTCTACATAATGAAGCATCAACACTACTTGAAATCTCACTTCCTTCGCTTACCAATTGTTCTGGACTTTAACTAGATTGCATGTAAGTTTTGGTCACTGAAGATCGGATCTGTTAAAGATGAGGGATTAATGAGGTTGCTCATTCTCTTAGGAGAATCGGAACCGAGTAATTGTTTAGGGAAGTTCATCCTGCTATGAGTGCTTTATGAATCAGATAGGAGCTACTTCCAATTTGAATGCTATATTTCTGTATCTTTTACATAATACCTGTTACCTGCCTATTTGCCATAGTGGCGGCAGATAAACTGGTTATGATCTTGTTTATAGCATGGTTGCTTGCCTTTTAATGAATCCACTAGAATTAAATTTAACAGATATACCTTGGCCCTGCAGGTCTTAAAAAAGGCTGATATGATCCGCAAGAATGCCGTTGAGAGCATACTAGCAGAACGCGATATTCTTATTTCAGTGCGCAATCCGTTTGTGGTGAGCTGGCTAACTAGTTATCAATTTTTGCATGTCATTTGAAAATGCCACTTCATTCTGACATGATTCCAACTTGCCAGGTTCGGTTCTTTTATTCGTTTACTTGCCGTGAGAACTTGTACCTTGTGATGGAGTATTTGAATGGCGGTGATTTATATTCGTTACTGCGAAATTTGGGCTGCTTAGATGAAGATGTCGCTCGTGTATATATTGCTGAAGTTGTAAGTTTTCAATACTCCTCTGCAAATACTTGCGGGGCTTGCATTGTAGTTGCTGACTGTAATCCATCTCTGACTGCTGTTAAGGTACTTGCTTTGGAATATCTACACTCATTGCGTGTGGTTCATCGTGATCTGAAGCCTGATAATTTACTCATTGCACATGATGGCCATATCAAGGTAACTGCTATTTTCATGCTTGAAATATATGACGAAGCACTTTTGTGCCATATATGCGCTTATATTGTTTGGGAAACCTCGGGCCATTCTACTGCTAGACATAAAACTTTAGCTACTTGACGCCATCTTTGAAGTGCTTTCTCCCAAAATATGGATAAGAGTAGCCAAAACAGAGACTTAAGGGTAGACTGGCATCAGAGCAGGCTTAAATCATCAAATGTGGTGTGTTTATTGTACATGCTTTGCAGTCAATTCTTATTATGTACTGGTAATCATCTGGTTATGATAAGAAAATGTACATCAAACACTCGGGGTGATTTTTGGCTTTTGCTAGAATATCACTAACTTTGTTGTTTAAAATTTTAGTAAAAGTGAAGAAAAAGTGTGTTTGGTTGGGGTTGTAAATAGTTTGCTGATGATAAAAAATGAGTGGGTTTAAGGAAATGATTATTATGGGTGTAACTGTAAGAATAAATTCTTATTTCGAGGGGGTAAGGTCAGGAATATTTTTTTTGTGAGGTGGATTTAAGCTTTGACTAATTGTGGGTTTAGGGTGAATGTGTTTGTAAATAGTTTGCTGATGATAAAAAAATGAGTGGGTTTAAGGAAATGATTATTATGGGTCTAACTTTAAGAATAAATTCTTATTTCAAAGGGGGTAAGGTAAGAAATATATTTTGTGAGGTGGATTTAAGCTTTAACTAATTGTGGGTTTAGGGTGAATATGTGTTTGTTTCAGCTTTTAGTTAAGGGACTCATCTTTTAGCTTAAGCAAAATCACCGCAGGTAGCCTATTGCTGCCAGCCACATGTATTGCCCCCTCTCGTTTGCGGCTTTTACCTAATTCAGGATCATATTTGTAAATGATAAATTGTTAATTGTTTAAATATAGCGACAACATACCCCTTTGTCCAGATGTAGCTCTTCCGTACTCTCTTAAATTCCTAGTGGATATGTTTATGGGTACTCTGTATGTACTCCTTTTTTTGTCCTCTCCATTTCTTCCGCTTACCAACTGCATTACAAAAAATTGAAAATCGGTAGCTGAGAGTGATACTTTATCAATCGATTTCAGTTTCCTAGATGATCGTGGTTTCAGGATTTTGTTGATTGGTTATTCTTATGGTCGTTTATGGTTTACCATGTTTTGAACAGTTGACAGATTTTGGGCTTTCCAAGGTTGGGCTGATCAACAGCACTGATGACTTGTCTGGTCCAGCAGCTAGTGGAACGTCAATGCTTGTGGATGATGAACCAGAATTACCAAGTTTGGATCAACAAGAAAGGAGAAAGAAGCGTTCTGCTGTGGGCACACCTGACTATTTGGCACCAGAGATTCTTCTGGGAACAGGACATGGTCTGTATGTGTTCCTAATTATATGATGCTCCTCATTTTTCTCCTTCGGATTTTCCAAAATGTAGCTGTGTTTTCTGAAGTGATTTTTTCTTAAATTAAAATGTGGACAGACCGAGTATAAAACACCCTTTGCTTTGAGATTGTTGTGATTTTACTGACTTGCTAACCATCATGAGTTAGTCTGGGGCGGTCTTTCTATTGTTATTTCCATTAAACCTTTTCTTTTCTACTGCTTTTTCTCTTGGTTCCCCTCACTTGCTGAGTGCAATCTCGGTGCATGAAATACTAAAAGGTTATGCTGTACTCTCCTCAGGCTTTACTGCTGATTGGTGGTCTGTTGGTGTCATTTTGTTTGAACTCATCGTTGGTCTTCCTCCCTTCAACGCAGAGCATCCTCAGGTCTATCTCTTACTCTGTGATCATGATCGACTTGTCAAATTTTGGTCTTCTTCCCTTTCCTGTCTTAAAGATCATCTTTCTTTATCATCTTACTGTTTTGATTAGTTCCTATGTTTTAAATCCGGTGCATACCTGTTCTGAAGATATTTCCAAGACAATAATACTCTCCATTTCTTTTTTTGACGAATACAATACTCTCCATTTCTAACTAAGACTGTATGGTTGCTTCTTGTTCCTGTTGTTTTTTCTTGCTTCTAGATAATTTTTGATAATATTCTCAATCGGAAGATACCATGGCCTGAGGTACCCGATGAAATGAGCCCTGAAGCTGAAGATATAATTGACAGGTGAGATAATTTTGTAATTCTCGACAATCTTCAGTGTGGAGCTTTTGAATTGTATCTTTTCTTCACGTTCAATTGCATCATATCTTTCTGCTTTAATAATCAACATGTTGAGACTTTGTAATGTTTTCCAGATTATTAACTGAAGATCCTCATATGAGACTTGGTGCAAGGGGAGCATCTGAGGTCTGTGGGTTCAGTTTCTCTTTCACAGTTTGGAACCCTCTTTATTTGGTTCTGTTCTTTTACTGTTTCTGAGCTGGGGGAACTGTAACATCCGAGGTTGTTTTGTAGGTAAAGCAACATCCATTCTTTAAAGATATCAACTGGGACACACTGGCAAGGCAGAAGGTGTGAAGTGTTCTGCTTCTATTGTAGATAGCGACTCTGGGCCATGTATTTTTTGTTTTTAAAAGTTTCGTTGTGGTTACACCTTTTGTGTTGTCTGTTTTTTAGGCCGCATTTGTTCCCAGTTCGGATAGTGCTCTTGATACAAGTTACTTCACTAGTCGGTACACTTGGAATACTTCAGATGACAATGCATATCCCGGTAGTGACTTTGAAGATTCAAGTGATGCTGACAGCTTAAGTGGCAGTAGCAGTTGTTTGAGCAATCGTCAAGAAGAAGTGGTATTTAAGGATAAAACTCATGAGAACTTTGTTCAGTTCATTTTCAGTTTTACAAATTAAGCTCACTCTGCATTACTGATGAACAGGGAGACGAATGTCTGGGCCTTGCAGAGTTCGATTCTAGTTCCAACATCAATGTCAATTACTCATTTAGTAATTTCTCATTCAAGGTAATTTATCATTGTTTTTTATTTTATTTTATTGCCATAGGTAATTTATCATTGTTATCAAATTGTTATATTTTCCTGTTAGAAGTACCATTTGTTCAAACTGTTTTTTGTTCCTATTTTTACCTCCTGCCTTTGCTGCACTTTCATTAAATATGGTTTTACTTTCTACTGTCGGTACTGAAATAATGATACGGAAACAACTGCTGAGAAAAGACAATTTCGAGTGTAACGCTTCTGTCCTTTTGGTTTCTATACACAAGGTCTGCGGGTTAAGAACTCTACATTCATTAATCAACAATAATAGCAGCTGTAATCAACTCTACATTGTCCTTAATTAATTCTCGGTACAAATTGTTATTCTTCTTATTAAGGTGTACCGCGGAAACCATTTACAGCAAACATACAAATGCCTTATATTTAGTTTGAATTTAGGCAACCTTGGAGGACAAAGAGCATTTGTACGATGGTGTCTATTTATGTCAATAGAAATCCGGAAGAGCAATCACTGTTCCAGATCTTACTGTGCATTCATATCATATACCATGCAGCAAAATGCCATATTTTGTTAGTACAGAGTACAGACTGTACCTTTATTCTGTGAAATATGATTTGTTACAAACAAATCGTTGTCGCAGTTAGTAACCCATACTTTCAACCTTTGATCTAGAAAGAGGAGTAAGAGGAAAGTTGTCTTTATTGAATTTCATCTTCTTTTGTGAAGTGTTTTAAAGTACTCTACATAATTCATTCTGCAATTTCTTCGCTCATTTTGGAGTTTCATCTTATACACAAGGTTGTTAAGCTACTAGCTAGTGGTCACTATTCGGATTTTCTTTATGCTTACCCTTTATACATTAGCATCCTTGTGCCCGTTTCTTACACAAGGGCTAATGTTTGTGAACTCAAGTCTTGGTTGCAATATCAGAATCTGTCTCATCCCTCAGATCTTCAGCCAGTTCTTTGATACTATGGGTGATGTTTGTTAGCACACATTTTGTTTGTGATTTCAGAATCTGTCTCAGCTGGCATCAATCAACTATGATCTTCTATCAAAGGGTTGGAAGGATGACCCTCCTACAAGCTCATGACGTTTCTCTCTTGACTCCGTCCAAAGAGCCAGAAGTTTTGGGTTTGTTTTGATGTGGATCCATATAGTGAGTCATAATTATATTACAGGCTGCGTCTGGTTCAGCATTGGTGTCTTGTATACCCTGTACATGTAATTTTCTGGACTCAATTCTCTTGTCCATTCTGCGAAAAATTTCGGCGGTTCACTTCATTCCCAGATTTTCACCTATGTGGTTGTTGACTTGCTTAATCTGTGCTTATTGCAGAAACAAAAGAGACATCCATCTGAAGACTTGGAAAAGGATGCTTTGCAATCGGTTGCTGTTTAAAAGGTAAATGTGTTTGATGAAACGGACACTTTCGAGGTTCCCATATTTTTTCAAAGTGCCCGAGTTCGTGAGTTCGTTTTATCGTGTTTGAATAGAGAACATCAGCAGTAGAGCATTGTTTTTGAGTTGGTGGGAGGGGGATGATAGTACACTGTTCATGTTGATGGAAAGCAAACCCTTGGTGTTCTTGTTGTGAGTTTTGCACCTGTAACAATGAGAACACTTTAACCCCGCCTACCAGCTGAAATTGGTACTTATCACGATTAGCTGCTGGTAAGGTAATATTGTGTAAAGAATGCTGAGGACTTCAGAACAGGACTGGGAAGCTGACGACAGAACAAATGTCCGATAGAGACATCATTTGTTTTGGTTAGAACAAAACAGAAGTGTCTGCAAATCCTGTGTGTTCATATATGGAAGCTCTCCCTGGGTGATGGATGAATTGGCTAAACGCTCGTTTATTTCTTTTAGAGAACGACTAACCGTGAGTTGTGCCTGGAGCCTTTGTGGTGTAAGGCTTTAAATCGCATGTTTAACAACCCCTTATCAGCAGTTTCTTTGACGTAGAGTAGTTCGTAGGACTCCCCTTAGTAAGATAGAATACCATTTTCTCGCAACATCCTTTTTTTGGTAGACTAACAAAGAGAGAGCTCCTTAGGACGAAACGATTCTGATCTTCAACAACCCTCGGCTCAGTGAAACAATTCTGATCTTCCCTCGGCGGCGCCACCGGCAAATTCTTCCTGTCGGCCGCCCGATTCTTCTTTCGACTCTAGAGCCAAAATCAGGCTGGCGGATATATTGGGTGAAAAAAAGGTAGTTCCTGAAGAAGAAAGAAATAAGGAGATATTGGTCGTCCACCATGGTAACATTCTTCGGATCCCAAAACTGATGATTCTTCTCGTCACTGTTTTGACGGTAGAAGTCCCTTTAACCTTTCCTTTGTTCGATTGATGATGTTGAGTTCTTTTGCTCGTCGTGTTCGGCTGATTAGATCTGTATGACTAGCCGCCGGTATTTCGATTCGAGGTTTATAGCTCGAAAGTGCTCCTCTTTGATAATTTCTAAGCTTTCATTTTGTAGTTTTCTACCTGTTAATCGGTGTTTTGTTCTGGTTTGCATCGTTGATTTGGATTGTTCATGGGTAGACTATGGCACTGTAGAATATCAGTGTGACCGATGGCTCGGAATTCGTTTAGGAGATCCGGTTTTTTCGTTTATGCGCGTCTTCAAGCATTGTATGTTGCTTCTCGCTTTCATTCCACCAGGCGGCGACGAATGCGCAGGTGGAGGAGGCGTCGGACAGTTTGTGGGAGACGTAAACGGCGAGGGCCATCCCGGCCAGCTGAGAAGCTCCTCCGCCGGCTCGAAACACTTGCCTCCGGTGACTTTGTTGGTCCGGCAGTCCTGCAATCAAATTTCCTCCGGCGAGAAGTAAATATCCAATTAATGGCCTCATTGGTCCGTTTATTTGGGTTTTAATACCTCAGTTATGGTATTTGATGTTATTGGGTCTTTAATGATCCGTTACAAGTGATTAATGAGTCACTAAAGCGGTCCTTTTATGGCGCTTTACAACCTTTATGGTTGGTTTATATCTCAAATTATGAGATAGAAAGAATTAAATTCTGACGTCCATAATTAATTTCTGACTTTCAGAATTAATTAATTTATGGTTTTCAAAACTTCAATGTTCCATTTCAAAACTCAGTTTTGGGATATGAGGTTTATTAAGGAGATAGTTAGTGAGCTATTATTTCTTATTAATTACCATTAGAATCACGTTGACAAAATCAAATGAGCATTATTGTCCGTTACCCACCCTATGGAAATTGGTAATCCAATCCCCTTTCATTAACTTAGTTATTCCTTTTTTTGGTAGAACTTAGTTATTCCCTAATCAAATGCCCCTTGGCCACAAGATTGTGGTCGCTCATGGGTCTAAATGATTTCATCTCCTCGGCCCCGACTGTGAACTTCAGTCTCTGGTGGCGACTTGTTATGCTTTCTGAGCACCCCCAAACCAACATTCTCCTATACGTTTGTGTATTATGGAGGATCTGGAAGTCTAGAAATAAGGTGGTCTTTGAGCATGTCCAGCCTCATGCCCAGTCTCTCGCTCGTCAGTGTTTTTTCCAAGTTCGCGAACTGTCTTCCTCCCTTCCTTTGGTCCCTGCTCCGCCCCAGCCTTCCCGTTCTCGCCTCTCGTCTTGGTCCCCTCCTCCTGTTGGCTTTGTGAAGTTCATCTTTGATGCTGCTGTTCGTCCTTCTGGGTGCTCGTCTGGTCTTGTGGTGCGCAGTTCAGTTGGGCATGTGGCTCTGGCTTTAGGGTCTCTCCATCCCGGTATTGTTGATCCCTATCTTGCGGAGCTCCTAGCAGCTAGGGACGCCATCGCCCTTGTAGTCTCCAAATTACTGCCTCGGGTCATCATAGAAGGAGATTCAGAGGTGGTGATTCGTCAGCTTCGTCAAGGTGCTCTCTCTGACTCCATTGGTGGTCCGGTGCTTCGGGATGGCTTCCTTCTCCTTTCTTCCGTCTCTGTTTCTTTAGAGTTTAGGGCAGTTCCTCGGACTGCTAACAGTGCTGCCCATAGAGTGGCGCAGAAAGCACTGTTACTCTCCCCTTTAGAGTTATGCGCCTTTGATTTTGTGGGTTGGCTTCTCTGATGTATTGGGTTGGGCAGGGTCGGGGTAGATTGTATAGGTTCTCTCTTGACATTTCTTGGGAAAAAAAAAAGAGTAGTTCGTAGGATTAGAGATATCTCGATAACCTTAAATTGACTCCATTTCCTGAAGATACTGCAAGTGATAGTTCAAATAAGAAACTGCTATCTCACATTACCAAGATACAAAACCTTTACTTAATCAGCAGCGAGGGCAAGTGACAGTTCTCATCGGCTATCTATACAGAGTTTACAAATGCATACTGTCAAAATTTTCTCAATAAGAGAATTAATAGGGAACAACTTTCAACTTGCATACATCTTCAGTGTTTTCTTTTTCTTCTTCTTCTACGCCCTCTGGTAGACAGATCACTTAGGTTAGCTAAACCCTGTGGACAGGAACTAAAACACGAGGAACCGATAACATTTTGGGCATTCAGCAACCTCTAGATCAGAAAGACAAGGGAATAGCGGCATCTCTTTCGTTGTAGTCGGCCACCAGCTTATCAGGTTGGGACAACACTTCTTGCCGATGGACATGAGCCAGGAAGATTAGTTCTTGCTGGGTAGAGTAATCCAACCCCAATTTTTAAGAGAAATCATTAAGTGAGTTGCCACTACTGCTTCCTAGCTTGACTGCACTGCGGTTGCTGCCACTACGAAATTGGTCAAGTCTTTCAAGCAAGTGCGTTGGCCAACCCCAACCGGTAGGCCTCTCAAGCTCGTACGGTGAAGAAGGCTAAGAAACTTGAGATTGGACAGCCTTTTAGTGTCTCTTGGCAGTCGCCGAAGTTTGGAACAACCATTTAATACGACTACTTGCATGCTTATCAGTCTTGTGATCTCATTAGGCAACATCTGCATTTGGTTACCAGAGAGATCAAGATACCTAAGACGTATCAACTTATGGATGGAAGGTGGGACTATAGTTACAGCAGGGACACTTAACACTCTCAGCAAGGACTATATTTTTCCTTTACAATTTTAGTTGACCCATGAGATTCATGATGCTTAGTGTATCGTGACTAAGCGCCCAATGAGCCCTAAACTTGACCCAAGTAACACTATCAGATGAAGTTCCATGATATCTCATTAATCATTATCCACTCCAAGCTAACAATCCTCTCTTGTACATCTAAAATCCTCGCATCATTTGTTTCTTAAGTCCAACCTCATCTTCTGGCATTCTTCATTCCCAGAGTCACATTGCGAAGATCTGCTATAAAATTTATTCAAGTTGCTTTGCATAGGCTGTAAGGACTGCTCATGCGTGCTAATTCTGCGCTACCGCCTACCGGGCACCTCAGCAAGAAGACTACTTGAAGGAATTACTTTGAAAACTTCCAAACACAGAATCCCAAAGTTCGAAACTTGCGGCTGCAAAGCTGCAGAAAGAGAGGCTAGCCCAGAATAGGGCCACTAAAGTGACCTATTACAACCTTCTGTTTGTGTGATGAAGTTCCCTCAGCCATTGAACAACTCCGTGGCAAATTCTGACAAGAAACCAATACGTTATATGCCGAAATGCAAATATAAGTCATGACGACTAGGCCTCATAAAATGACTTCACTTGCATTAGTAATCCATCAAAGCAAGAGACTACCACCACTCCTACAGTCCTACTCCCTAAAAAACCCCAAAAAGGTCCTCGCCAATGGATCAAAGGCAGGACGTTACTTACATCAGTGATCCATCAAAGCAAGGAAGTTTTTGCTACGGCTACCTAAAAGCCTCCCCAAAAGGTCCTCGCAAGCAAACCAAAAGCAGGACATTACTTGCATCGGTGATCAATCAAAGCAATGAAGAGACTACTACTACTCCTACCACCCTAAAACCCCAAAGAGGACCTCACCAAGGAACCAAACACATGGCATTACTTGCATCATTGATCCATCAAAGGGAGAAGAGACTCCTACTACTCTACTACTACCACTACCACCCTAGATTGTCCTTGAAAAGCTTCCAACTGGCATTGGACTGAGCCAATCTCTCCTTGGCTTTCAGACCGTTCTCAATCACCTGCTTGTTCTCATCACATTGCTTCTTGAACTCTTCCAGTTCCTTGGAAGCCTCTTCATTAGCCTTCTCCAGTTTGACCACAGCTGAATTCCTCTGATCAATAAGTTTAGCCTTTGGAGCGGACAGTTGCTGAATTTCAGCCTCAAGCTTCATGCCTTCTTCCCCGAGTCTTGAAACCTCAACCTCCAAAGAGCTCAATTTTCTCTTCCTTTGCACCAGTTTCACTTCCATGTCTTTTGTAATCTGAGGCATTAGTGATTTGGCAGCATTGCTGGTTTCATTAGTGGCCAGAGAGCTAGGGATGACCTGCTTAAACTCAGCCAGACGTGAGACCAAGGCTTTCAGGATTGTCTCCTCTTCTGGATCAGTTGAATGTTCAGCCAGTTTGAGCGCAGTGCTCTCAACTTCATCGAGTGATATGGTTTGGCAGATGGCCTCGAGTGACATACCAAAGAATTCAACCATTTTCTCCCTCTGTTGTTGCACCACACCACAACCATGGTCTGCGCTTGAAGAGATTCGATCAGCTGAAGGAGACTTGCAATTGCTGGTCATTGTGGAGAGTTCAGCTATCAGTTTTCTCGATGTCAACTGCGCACTTGATGGAGGAAAGGGGCTGTCTGCCTGAACCTCCTGAAATTCAAAGAAAACAACGGAGGAAAGTGTGGGCGGGTGTTTCTACATCAAATCAATGGTTCGTACTTTTATCATATGGGAACTTGGTGGACCGAGTGTGAGAAGGTTTTGCTGTCATCACCTGATTCTGGAGTGAAAGGGGCTCTTCAGTCTTAGCCAGCCTTGGTTCGCTATTAGTAGCCTCTGATGCAGCTACTTCCTGCAAGCAAGTGAGACATTTAATATACCGAAGTATATGTTTATCAAAAGAAAAAAATGCTGAAGGAGAGAGTAAGATACTGTAGAACTCAGGAACACTTTGTGTCAAGAGACTTAACAGTAGAAACTTCTGCTTCAATAATGACTGTATCACGAACGATGTATCTAGAAGCACGTTCTATAAAGTCTGCACTCAGAACAAAACGTGGGAACTCCCATTCGTAGTCCAGGTAGTCAAAGTTATGTGCGCCACCTGCGGGCGAGGTTTGTTTCGCAGGGAAATGAGAAATGCAGAGAACTAGAATGCCTGCTCGGATTCAGTATGTAACCACTTGGGGAAGGTGAAACAAGTCACTCCCATTGCAACCATGTATGGAGGAATTAGGAAACAACCCTTACATTGTCGCACAGATAGGGAACCATCGTATTGGTCGACAAGGGTCAAGGTAAACTCAGCTGCCACACTCCATTTGTAGGGCACTGTTTCCCAATCAGCAATTTCCAAACTCATGGCTAGATGCTTGAAATACAATCTACAATTTGGATTAAATACGATCCTCCTGCGTTAAGCGCAATAGTTCAGAAGCAAGCAAGCCAAGACAAAGAGCTATCGAAGAAGAGAGTACAAAATTGTTTTCGAGTTACTACCAGTTGTGGCCTCCCGCCGAAAAAGTGTCGGACAAAAGTTCCCGCTCAGTCCGCTTTGAAAATTGCGAGATCTTCCATGTGAATTTCTTCGTCTCCTTCTTCCTCACCGGCGGATCCTCAGGCACAGTCGCCATTTTTGCCATGAAACTAGCAGCTACTTCTCCCTGCGCGAAGAGAAGATGTATAAATTCGTTAAAGCCGGGAAAACGTCAGGCAAGAGTAGTCTCAAGTCTCGTCGCCTTACCTAGGGCTGTTAATCGGTTGCCGGTTTACCGGTTAACCCGAAAACCGAACCGAAAACCGCGGTTACTCGGTGAACCGAAAACCGTGAATACTGCATCGGTGTCGGGGTCGGTTGGATGATTTGGGGTTTTAGGCTAACCGGCAACCGACGGTTGCAAACCGATATAATCTCGGTGCACCGCCAAAACCGCCGTTCCTCTTGAGACTCTCCCTCTCTGCTCTCACCATCGCCACTCTGCCTCTCCCTAGACTCCAAACTCTCCTTCTTCACTCGTCGCTTCTCCAAATCCCTTCAATCACCATCTCCCGCTCCCTCTCCCTCTCCTCTCGGCTCGCCCCTCTCTACCCTTTCCCAATCGGCAGCCACCAGCCCACCACCATCCTCAATCACCACTCGCCGTCGACTTCTCCGCCTCAATCGCCCCCGCCTGACTTCGCTCACTCCTTCCTTGTCGAAAGAGGTCGCCGGCTCCCATTGCATGTCCCTCGATGGTCGCCGCCTTGCCTTCCTCATCCTCGGCGGTCAACAACGAGATCCCGACCTACCCTTCCTTCTCCAATCGTCGTCGCCCTGCCGCTGCCACTGTCCTTCCTCCCTCTCCAGTCTCCCCTCCTCTCGACGCTTTCTCCCTCCATCTACCTCAATTTGGGGGAGACCCAACTTGGGATTTTCCGCCTCCGATGCCTCTCTTCTTCCCCTGCTACCGCTGCTTCAAAATTGGTGTGGGTCGGTCTCGGCAAACCGCAACCAAAAGCCGAAACTGACGGTGGCGGTTGGCGGTTAACCGAGAATCCCTTCGGTGTCGGCTTCGGTTGGCAGTGCTGGGGGATTCTCGGTCTCGGCTAACCGATGGTGCGGTTCGGTTGAAACCGAAACCGCACCGCTATCACCCCTAGCCTTACCCTTACGAACGGAGCAGAAAATGGAGTTAGCCAATGATGAACTGGACTCTGCCTTGCGAGCAAGTGAAGCGACAAGCGAAGAAGAGAAGAGGCCAAGAGGGCAAAGGGTTTGCTTGCAACTTGCAAGCTTGCGACAAAACCACCGCAGTGTCCACTTTTTTAACTTTGGGATAATTCATACCCAAAATACATCTACATAGCCAAAACTTTCGCGTTTGTGACAATAATAGTCATTTTTAGAGAAATATAACTTATAGTCAGATTTTCTAGTTGTTTTATGACAAATCTAGCCATTTCCGTTAAATACTTTTAGTAACACTGTTAAGTTCTTTAACGGTTCGCTGACTAGACTCCTACTCAGCACACACATCGACGCCAAATAAGCCGAAAATAACACATTATAATTTAAATTTATTTAATAATTACACATCGCTGACTAGACTCCTACTAAGCGGACTTCGCATTGGCAGCTGAGCTTCTTCCGATCCTCACTCAGGCAATCAAGGAAAGGGTCGTGAGGATCCCAACTCTTAGCTCAGACTGTCTACTTTCTGAGCAAACTAGTCTTTTTTCAGTAAGCTAGAGATTCCTACTCTACCAGACGTTGACCGGCTTACATCAAGCACTTTGGGGCGCTGGCTTTTCAAAAACCTATCTAGCTTAATGAGAGAGACTAGCTTATGTTAATCTTCCAAGCTTTTTCTTTATATACGATTTTTTTCGTAAATCAAGCTATTTCATACGTTTCACCAGAAATTCCCTCAGCACCTACCGTACTCCAGCTTGGCAGTTTCCACCTATGTCCAGGGTTGAGCCCTGGGATTTGACGGCGGACTTAAAAAGCCACCTACAGACGCTTTACGCCCAATCATTCCGGATAACGCTTGCATCCTCTGTATTACCGCGGCAGCTGGCACAGAGTTAGCCGATGCTTATTCCCCAGATACCTGCTTCTTCTCCGGTCCGGAGGGGTTACGAGCAGTTGCTCCGGTATACAGAACCACCCTATAGAAAAGCCGATCAACAAACGGGTTAGAGTAAGAAATCGAAGATCCCGCGTATATGAATAAAAAATAGCTTTCGATAGCCTAAATCCCTTGATTCGGGATGTTTCCCTACATGCATCAGACAATCCTTACTATCGAGCATTAACATTCTATTCTTTCCGGACTATGGTGCTTGCTGCTCTGCTTCCCTTTCTCCCTTCGCCCTTCGGGCTCATATATTCTAAACCTTCGCCCTTCTCCCTACGGTCGAACATATGATAAACCTTCGGGCTCATATATTCTAAACCTTCGCCCGCTTTTCGGGCTCACATATTCTAAACCTTCGCCCTTCCTCCCCACCAGTCGTCTTTGCCCCGGATTCGCCCTTCCCCCGAACACTCTCGCCCGTGTCTCAACGCGCTTTACACGTTCTGCGGACTCCAGTTGGTCTCGCATCTCTGGCTATGATGTATGATATACCTGAAAAGGTATTTCTGCGTCTTGCTGGGGCTGGTTTCCGAGTTAGAGCCTGCATGGGTAGTAAACGTTTGTCACGTAAGTGGCGGCGCTATCTAGCGGTGTATGACAAATCGAAAGGGGTAGGATACTTTGATCTCGAATGGTGGGTTGGAAGAGGTTTGCCTCTCGATCCGTACAAGAAGGATCAGATATTCTACTACCTAATGGGCAGATTGAAACCTAGACAACTTAAGTCTGTCCCTTACCTGTCCATTCAAGCCTTTCAATATCTCGTCTGGCCCTGTCTTCTGTCGTACTCTCCTCTGCTCTACCTCGCCTTTCTACCTCGCCCCCTAAGACTCGCCTCTCGCCCCGTTGGTCGAGTATATTCTAACTCCTCGTACCACTTCCCGGCCTCTCCCTTCTTCCCCCCCGTGGCAAGGATCACATGAACCCTAGAAAAACTCCTGCTTACTCTACGTCATCGATATCTAAGTGAGAACGAAAGAAGTTACTATAGCTGGCACGATAAAAATATCTTCTGTCGATAGAAAAAAGAAGGACAAGTGGATCAAGAGTCTTATGCCACGACTGGTGGATGAAACTCAAACGAGTTTCGTTCCGGGTCGACACATAACTGACAATATTTGCGTCTTGCAGGAGGTTGTTCATTCGATGGGGGCCAAACGAGGAAGAGTGGGGTGGATGGTTCTCAAGATTGATCTGGCCAAAGCGTATGACCGCATCAAATGGAGTTTCGTTCGGGATACGCTGCAAGCGGCGGGGACGCCTACAGCATTCATAGAGCTCGCCATGCAATGCATATCCTCTGCCAAAATGTGTATTCAATGGAACGGAGGTCTAACGGAGGACTTCAACCCTTCGAGAGGCCTTCGACAGGGGTGCCCACTATCCCCATATCTTTTCACCCTCTGTATGGAAAGACTCGGGCATCTGATCAAGGAAGCAGTGGAGGTAGGATCTTGGAAGCCCATACGTTTGTCAAGACATGGTCCTAAGTTGTCGCACTTATTCTTTGCCGACGACCTCATCCTGTTCGGGGAGGCAGCCTTGGAGCAAGTTGGAATTATTACAAAATGCTTGGAAGAATTCGGAGCGGCGTCGGGACAACAAGTTAGTCGACCGAAGTCAAGGGTGTTCTTTTCCAAAAATGTCACCGAAGCAGAAGGTGCCGCCATTAGCGCTGCACTAAACATCCCGGAAACCAAGAACCTAGGCCGATACTTGGGTGTCCCGGTCATCCATGATCGAGTGTCCAAGATAACATTCACGACCCTGATAGAGAAAATCGACTCGCGATTGGCTGGTTGGAGAGTGAATACTCTTTCACTAGCAGCTAGGATAACTCTCGCTCAGTCGGTGCTTGCATCTTTACCAGCGTATACCATGCAGACATCATTCTTGCCAGCGAGCGTGCGGGAGTATATCGACAAGAAGATAAGGGCCTTCATTTGGGGAAGTTCGGAGTCGGGAAGGAAGATCCACCTTGTTGATTGGGATACGATCTGTCGACCCAAGGCTGAGGGGGGACTTGGTCTTCGTACAGCTACCAGGATGAATGAAGCATTCATGATTCAAATTGCTTGGCGACTGATGACGGGAATATATGAGCCCGTAGGGCGAAGGGAGAAGGGAGAGGAACGAATATACTCGGTAATGACCTAACGAGAGAGATGGTAGTGAGGCAATGAATATTGTCTGTCTTTCGATTTAGTTCCAAGTCTTCGATGTCCCTCGGAGACTGACAAGAGTCAGAATGGGTACTAACCTAGTAGTAGAATTCTATTGATGATGAGCGGGCAAAAGCCCCCGGATCCCCCGGTTTGTGAGCCAGGTTCCCCCCTTCTTTTTTCTTGACACGAGATGCCGTTACACCATACACGGTAGGCGAAAGACCAAGCACAAATCTCGATGATGAAACATTTTGGTATTTCTACATGTGATTCACTGCCGAACGCTCCTTCTTGTACGCTAGCACTTGAGGGAGGTGGTTCGGCTACTTTTTTTCGTCGTGTTTGCCGATGGAACATCAAATAAAAAATGGATTGATCTCTTATTACTATGCCATTGATGAAGATTCATAGCTTGGCAAAAAACCTGAAATCCTACCTTCGATAAAGTGTTCACAAAGCAGAGTTAAAGGCACCCCATCGAGAGAGAGGGCAGGGGAAAGACCCGACCTCTTTTTCCGAGTACTTTCCTTCTACCGGTGGGGCCTCGACTAAACTATCGGGTTTCTCTCTCTCTTTGGAAAACGGGTATTCTGGGAATAGCATTTAATTTAAGGCTTATCTTCTTTTTAGGATCTGGGGAATAAAGAAGAAGAAAGTATCCACGGCGACAAAGAGAGGAGCTGATAGACGAGACCATTGGCCTTAGTCGTAGCAGGGTATATTCCATAGAGCCCTTTAGCAGTCCCTCAGTCCCATTCGTTCCTCCCTCCCTTTTCGTCGCCTAATGCCTGATTGGAGCAAAGTGCGTCACTCCAACAGTCAGCGTGAGTGTCCGGATGCTCCTATCGAATGGGTGGATTGGGTACACCGGTTAATTGAACACTTTCCTATTTTCGATGCAGCGGGAACGCTCACTCTAACAAGGGCACCAACAGAGACTGTCACAGCTAATTGTTGTGCTAGTCCAGCAACTGCGGTTAGTGATTCAATTGCCAGTCCTCTACCACCGGTTATAAGACCCAGATCTCCCCAACGCAGACGCTCTTGGCATAGAAAGAGTCTTCATTTCCGCAGATTCTATTCTCTGGTTCATAGGTCCTATTCTTCCTAAGCCCTCAGAACTACCCGGTGCTTTATAATATCTGTTCTTTGCCTTTGCCTGCCGAATGTGTAATTCAGCGTTTAGGGCAACTCTTACAGCTATCGAATCAGCTCTTGGGGATATCATAGGATGAGAGCTGAAAAAGCCGAGGCTTGAGACTGCCAGTTTGGGAACGTGTCGCCATGAGATAAGTCCGAACGGGTGCAGGAGAGCCAGAAGATGATGGATAGTCAGAAAGATCCACAACCAGATTAATTAAAGACTGAGCTGGTGAAGAAGGCTGGCGACGAGACAGCACAAGAGATGGTGTGCCTTGAATGGATGAAGAAAGAGTAGAGTCGTAAAGCAGAAGTTGGCAGCGGACCAGATG